AATATATATATATATATATATACATTACCTAAGCATGTTCATCCACTTGCATCAACAAAGACATGAAGCACTTAAGGAAAAAGAAGTGGATAGGTTGCTACATTCATGAGAGTGAGTGCTTGACGAAAATGCAGCAGCAAGCATACACTAAGATATATCTAAAAGCATCGCAAGAGGCATGCATACAAGCTTGCATGCGTGCATGCGGGCGTGTTTTAGCTTAGATGTATCTCCGTGCGAGTATTACCTGTGTCTGTCTGTCCACTGGCGTTGGTAGCAGAGACGGAAAACTCCACGTCAATGTTGTCAGCACCGAGATACCGCGAAATGAATTCGTTTGCAGCAGCATAGATAACAGATTTGGGGATCGTCACCTCCTCCCCCTCCGCTGTTAAAAAGAAGTTTTGAAGACTCAGAGAGGCAGGGCCCGTGTTCTTCCTGCACACAGAGTTCGGGGTTTGCTATGGCTTCTCACTGATGCAATCTAGCCTCTGCGTTCGTCTGCGGGCTTTTTAGCCGTTCTTACTAATGGCGCAGCGAGATTAATAACAATATAAGGGTTATTATTACTGGCATTGCTAGCCAATGCCGGCGTCACAATGGTAATAATAAAAGCAGCGATAAGAACAATGATAATTGTCGGAATAGTAGTAGTGACAATAACCGAAACTTTAATGGTAAAAGTAATGATAATACTAGCAGCAGTAACAAGAGCAATAAGGTCAGTAATAACCTCAGCAATGGTAGTAATCATAACTCATTTAATGAGAATGATAATGATAGTCACAATGATAATGATAAACAGGATGACAGTGGCATCGATTACTGTTTAGAAAGTGCTTAATCAGCACCTATTGTTGCAAACAGTTTCTCGCATAAGCATAATGCACTGCCTTCACTTGTTTCAGCTGAAACAAACCATTGCTGTGGACAGATGCCTGTAGACAATTTGTACTGCTTTTATCTTCTCTGCTATAGTCTACTGCTAGGGAGAAAGGGTACTACCCCTATTTTCGTTGCAGTTTTTTGTTGCCGTTGTTGTTGGTGTTGCTGCTGTTCTCGTTACTGTGATTTAGTGCTTATTGCCGCATCCTAGGCTAGCTGCAGTGAAGGAGTGCAGAGAGGGCGAGATGGCGACACCACAAACGAAGAGGAGACAAATAATGATAGGCGAAAAAATACGATACGCAGAACACAATGGTATACGGATGAAGAAAGACACAGACGGATAGGGGGAGGCAGGAGGCAAGAAAGAAGAAACCATGAGGCCATAAAAACAAATAAATACATAAATAAGCTCAGAGACACTCACCAGGTATACGTCAGGGTTGGGTCGGCTGCGTCGTTCGCTGAGCGCAGCAAAACAGGTCCCCGCAAGGACAAACTTGAAAAAAGGATTTAGCAATGTATATAACTATTTTTGTAGACGTATACATTTATATGGACATATATTTATAGACATCAAATATATATATATATATATATATATCTGCGCTTGCAAAAAGACCATGCGCAAAAAAGCATTCTAAAGGAAAGGATTAAACAAAAACGCCGACGAAACGAAACGAAGCAGGAAACGTACAATATATATATATATATATATATATATATTATGGAATATTATGTGCACATGAGGGAGGTGAACCATAAGCAAAATTCACAATAGAAGAAACATTCAAACGAATCCATTGAGAATGAAACACGAGATACGGGCAAGGGAGAAGCGTGTCCTAAAGGTAGAAACAAGAAGATGGGTTGGTGGAGAGATGGAAAATAAACAATATATACATTCAAACAAACCAGCAAGCAACCGACCAAACGAACAGACATGTAAACAAACAAGTAAGCAAACAAACAAATTGACGGACAAACAAACAATCATCAAAAGGCCGACCAACTCAGCAAACAAACAAACAGTACAAATAAACAAATGAACGAACGAAGAAAGAGAAAAACGAACAAAAAACAAAACAACAAAAACAAACAAGCAAACGAAACAAGCAAATAAACAAAACACATGCAACTTACAGGATGATCCCTTGGCTGACAGTTGGATATCGCTGCACATTCCCGAGTTTGCTGGCACCTGAAAGCGAAAGCAAAACTGCGTCTTCGCTGTTGCATGTAACAAGTAATGAATGCTCTTTAGCAGGCAGTTTAAAGTTGCAACAGATGCAGGCCAACAAAACAAATGCATTGGCTCAACGCAGTAAAAGCAACAAAACAACAGCAACGCAACAGCAACAACAACAGCAACAACAACATCAACGGCAACAACAACAGTGATGCCAACAATAACAACGCCGCCAATGGCAACAACAATAGCAAAAGCAAGTAATATGGGGGCATGCAATACCCCATCTTGTAGTGCTTCACTAATTGCAAATTGCACTTTTGGTTCTCAATTGCCTAGTCCATTTCTTGAAACAAGAACTCTAGGAGTACTGTCCATATAAAATAAACTGATAATGCTGTAACCATTTAGATGTATTAAGAACCATTTAGATGTATGAAGAACGTCAACCTCAAAGTCTCTCTGGACAACTATAAACAGCAGCATACTAACACCCCATCATTGGTATCTTCGCTCTCCATAGTAGTAATCGGTATCCTCTGTAAAAGGGAAAAAGGTACACGCAAGAAGCAATGCGTGCATCACATGCAACAGCACGTACGACAATATTAGCGGTTGGAACAGGAGCAGGAGCTGGTGCCGAGTCCTGGGATCCGCCCCCCGACCCCGGTGCCGACCCAGATCCCGATCCCGATCCTGTTCCTGACCCCGGTCCTGATCCAGATCCCGCCGTTGCTGTGTTATTTGTGAGATTTGAAGGCGCAGCACTGACGAGTTGAGATGATGAAGCTGCGGCCATTGTTGTCGTTGTTGTTGTACCTGAAGTTGCCGTTGCATCTGCTGCTGTTGCGGCACCTGAAGTTACTGGTGCCCCTGAAGTTATTAAGGAGGTTGCCGAGATTGCTCGAATGCGTGCTGTCTCTGCATCGGTGTTTCCATATCTTTGTGCATTGTCATCTCTATGTATGTCTTGATCTCTTTGTCGGTTTTCATATCCTTGTCCCTCTTCACCTTTATGTCGGTCTTCAACTATTGGTTTGTCATTGTCTGTTTGTCCGTTTGCATATGTTTGCCTGTCTACATCTGCTTGTGCTTCTTGCTGTCGGTTGTTGCTTGCAGAATCGGTTGAGGGGTCGTATGCCGCTGCTGCAGCACGCAGCGCTGCTTCTTTTACATTCTCTATTCTGTAAGCAGCAGCAGCTTCAGCATACATCTGAAATAGGTCTGTCGTTCGCGTTGTCCCTCCGCCGCCCCCGGAGGCCTGAAACGGCAAACGAACAGCTACTGTGTATGCGTGAGGCGTGCAGACCCTAAACCCCAAATAGAGGGCTCACACAAAACCCAAGCGATGGAAACAGCACCGAGGGGACGCTTTGCTAACACTGCAGCAGCAACTGCAACAGGTGAAGCAGCTGCAGGCCAAAGGTCTTTGACAGATGCAGGAACTTTTGTAGCAGCTTAAGCGGCATAAGCCGAGACTACGCAGTAGGGGCTGAGGTGGTCTCAAGCCGCGACTGTATGGAGAGAGTTCTTTCGTTCTACTGTTTCGTATGACTTTGTAGATACACAAAAGAGAAGTGCTGTCTTCCAGTTTTTAGGTTTCTCTTGTCTCGTCTCGTCTGTTGCCCCTTCCGCATCACAAGCATATTTCTAGGGTTTAGGGTTTCTACTTTTTCTCCGTTTGTGCCTGCCTTGTGTCTCTCGTCCTTCCCTTCGTCGCCCTTCGGCGCCTGACCAGCATGTTGATTCTTGTGCTACTCTTGTGAATTAATGATTCAACATTTGTTCTACTGAGTTTCGCGTAACCCTAAACTCTCAATGTGCAGGTCAACTGCATCTAGCGCCAGCCAAGCGCGTCTACCTCGCTGTTGTTTGCTACGCACCGAGATAGTAAATAGGGTCTAACCACCCTAAACCCTAGACCCTAAAGAATTTACTCATTTAATAGGAACGGAAGGCCTTGCTTACGAAGGAAAAGCGGCAATGCAGTCAAATAAGAATGCCCCAAAACCAAAAACTCTGCAGAGCAATCGCTTACGACTCACAAGGGAAAGAAGAGATGCTCCCAGAACCAAAAACAACCCCATCGTACTCGTCCAGAAAACCACTAAATCCTAAACCCTAAAAAGTGCGGCATCAGTAAATCCCAATCCCTTACCCCCAGACCCTCAACCGTAAGCAGGAAACCCAAGTCCCCGAGACAGGGTGCTGAAGGCAGCTGTTGGCGATCTACTTGAAAATATAACGAAGGGAAACAATTTGGTTTAATGCTTTTAACCTCAACTATTGTAACCCACGGGCCTAGCTTCAGCTATGGGAGGAGGGAAGGGCCTGCAGGTGGGCGTGGTGTGGTGTGTGTTGGGGTGCACTCGTTGGTTTTTGTTCGTTCTCTTTCTCAGCATTATTTAGCTACGCGATACCAAAAAACAGTTCAATACTGTGGTCAAGCTGTCCATAACAGGAAAGAGAAAGGGGTCACAGCCGACGGACAAGAGGCAGCGCCGTGCATGCAGCCCTAACCACAACACCAGCGGTCTCTTTGCCTAATAACCACCCCCGTCCCCTAAACCCATATCCCGAACCCCTAAACCCTACACCCTAAACCCTTAAACACGAATCCCGAACTGTAACATCCCACCTGTAAACCACAAATGCTCCGTTTCGTGCGAATTACAACGCCGTTACGAATTCCTATTACGGAATGCCGTTCGACGCGTGAGGTGTCTGTAAACCGTAATCCCCACACCGTAAATCATAAACTTTAAACCCTAAATCTGGTTTGACTTAGGGTGAGAATTAACCCCTTATCTGTTTTAACCTCCGCTCTTGTCTCCAGGGCCTAAGGCTGAAGATGACAACACAGAGAGAAAACAGATTCTATCCTGAGTTCCAGCAGCACCTCCTGCAGCAATGCACACTGCATGCAGCCAAATGAACTAGGACCCTTCCTGATGCATGCATTGACACCGTATTTGGCCCTTTAGCGCGTCTCAATGCAAGTTGGAATACACCTATCCACTTTGGATTTCGGACAGTACGCAGTAATAATAATGACAAAAAAATAATACTGACAGTAGTGATAATGATAATGATAGTGACAACGATAATGATAATATTACCTACATTAATAATACCAATAAGAATAATAATGCTCCTACTATTACTACTAGCAACAACAACAACAACATAATAATAGTAATAATAATGATAATGATAATGAGAGTGACAATGATAGTGATAATGAAAATGATAATGAGAGTGACAATGATAGTGATAAGGATAATGATAATGATAGTGACAACGATAATGATAATGATAAGGATAATGACAATGATAATAATAGTAATAATAATATCTTCTGGCTGCCCTCGTAGTTCAGGAGGCACTCTATATAATATTGTTCTGTGCATGTGCACATAGACAAGAGCATATTTGAGGACCTATCGTGCATTTCTAGAAGCCTGTATACGTGCATGCCTGCCTATTCATTGAATCTCTACATATATATATATATATATATACCTTATATTATATATGCATTTATTAGTGCACAAGGGGAGGAATATTACGTA